ACAGAGTGTCTGTTGTGGGGGAGGAAGGGAAAGGAGAATGTGAGCCGCTTTGAGACTCCTGAAGGGGAGTGAAAGGTGGGATATCAAGTCCAAACTTCTTCTTTCTCCTCCTCCTCCTCCTCCTCTCCTCTCAAGGACAGTTTCACACAGAGGGCATTGCAGTAATTCAATCTGATTCAGAGCATGGATTACAAGGGACACCTCGTCACAGTCCCAAAGGGACAGAGATGGCAAACTAGCCCAGAGCTGGAAATGGGCACTGCTAGTCCCTGAGGCCACCTGAGCCTCAAGTGACCCTGCTGGATTCAGGAGTACCCCCAGGCATATATGGCTGTGTGTGGGTTAAGCTTTGTCACACCATCATCATCATCATCATCATCATCATCATCATTAATCCACCCTTCACCTTCAGTTCCCAGGGCAGATTACAACATTAAAAACCACATTAAAACCGTTTAAAACAACTTACGATCTCAGAAATAAGATGAGTCTTTCTTTACTTGCTTTTTAGCGCTGTCCCTTGGCTCCACCCCCACGTGCTTTGAACTTACCCCCGTCATCCTCAGGGGGTTGGCCAGGTAAGTATCTGGCCCTCAGAACAAAAAAGGGAAGACCCCACACCAGTAGTATGTTTTGAGAACATTGGAGATTCCAAGTGCTAGAAAATGAGACAGAAACAGGAAAGGATTGTGTGTTTAGCGGGGGAGGACAGGACGGGGAGCAGCTTTTGAGGGCCCCAGGTTTAGGACCCCCACCACAGCCTAGTGTCCACAATGCATTTGGTACTCACTCGTCAGTCGCAGTTCTGACTTCATGCATTGACTGAAAGGCAGGAACAAGCGGGGTATTCATCTCACAGAAATGCCCTCAGTTGTCTGCACATTTAGTATGGCAACATTACTTCTAGGAGGGCTAAAGTCTTCCTTTTTCTTTTAGAGAAAGCTCAGAGTCTGTGCTGTGGTGCAGTCCAACCCTGGTTCCTAGTAAGACTCATCCACGCTTACTCAGGGAACATTTTTCTTCTCCTGACAGTATACCAATTTTATAACAGAACAATGCGCTTGTTTTGTAGGACTTGCTAGTGCTTCTAATTGGGACAGACAGAACTTGGCAGAAGAAAAAGGGATCTCCGCGAGGCTTCATGAGAGCACAAATGGATGAGCAAGACTCAGCTGACCCTGAAGCAGGAAGAGGCCATGCTATCAAAACTGGGAGCAGTGGGAGTTTCTGGGGAAACTCGCTGCAGAAGGTCCTGGGTGAGGAGGACACCCTCTGCTCAGAGGTGCAGAGCCAGCAGTTCAGGCAGCTCTGTTCCCTGGAGACTGAAGGACCCCGAGAAGTTTGCAACCAATTTTACCGTCTTGATGGTCAGTGGCTGAAGCCAGAAAGGCATACAAAAGTTCAGATGCTGGACCTGGTGATCATGGAGCAGTTCCTGGCTGTCCTTCCACTAGAGATGGAGTGCTGGGTGAGGGAATGTGGAGCAGAGACCAGTTCCCAGGCAGTAGCCCTGGCTGAAGGTTTTCTCCTGAGTCAGGCAGAGGAGAGGAAGCAGGCGGAGCAGCAGGTGAGAGAGACTTTCCTCTGGATGCTCCTAAGGGGCTCCAAACATGAGGGAGAGCATCCCTAAATCCCATCCTTTTTTGGAAAGCATCCAAGAAATGCCTCTGCCATTCCTTTTCCAGTACTTCTCCAACTTCCCTGTTTTAAATCCTTGTTGCTCTTTCAGGGAAAGGAACTGTTTGCAGACAAGGGCTTGGATTCCTCAGAGAGGACTCTGTGGGAAACCAGAGAGAGGCTGTTGGGTAAGGACTGATGAGTTCTTTCTACATTTTGGCACATGCTATTGATTTTGAAACTAATATAATGGGTTCTTTGAATTCTTTTGAGGAAGACATTTGGGCCCAACATGGAGTCTACACACACATAAAAACTGTTCTGAAAATGCTTTTTAAAAAATACATTGACTTTTCCATAAGGCTCACCACCGTCATTTAGTGTCACATTGCATATTGCACTGAAAACACACTTAAAGCCTTTTATTTGTGGCTGTGTAGCTGAGTCCCAAGAACCCCAAGGAGTGGAGATCCATTTTTGTAGCATGAAAATGTGAAATGAAGTACAAACATCCAAATGCACTCAGCAGGCAAGGACTTTACGTAAGGCCCACCTGAAGTTAGAGTCGTGCTGCTTGATCATCTGAGAGAAGCATGCACCTGTGTCTTCCTACTTGCCTTCTTACTTAACAGGTGACCAAATGATGCCATCAAGACATGCTCCTCCATCTTTTCATGGTGCTGGAGGGGAAGCAGCGGCTGTGGAACCAGATCAAGTAGGAGGAAGAAGCCTTGTGGGAAAGAGGCTGAGGGGTGGGGCTGCCTGGGTGCCTCCGGGCCCAAATGAATCTCTCCCCCTCCTCCTGCTGCTGTGAAAACTGCCCTTAACAAAGTCTGAACATGCCATTCCAGAAGATTTGTGTGCTGTGAATAATCAACAGCCACCTCTCCTTAACTAGGTTTCCGAGTGTGCTAGTATTATTTACCGTATTTTTTCACTCCATAGGGTGCACTGGACCATAAGGCGCACCTAGTTTTTAGGAGGGGAAAAAAAATTCTTATTCCCCACCCCAGCCCCAAAGAGCAGCGGACAGGCTCTGGAGCTGTCAGGTGAAGCCCCGGGTTCGCTGTCTTGGCTTCGTTTTTAGCCGTTGCGCAACCTCTCCTGGCTGGAGAGGTATGCGTGCTGCCTTTGCTTTGTTTTAGCCACGGGGCTGGGGCAGGGGAAGCCCGAGGCTTCCCCAGCCCCCAGAACAGGTCGGGAGCGGCGGCAAGGTTGCACGCAGCCTTGCCTCCGCCTCCCAGAGCTTGGGGGCTGGTGGGGGAAGCCCGGGTTCCCCGCCCCCAGCCCCAGGGACCACACATTCGCTCATACAGACGCAACAGACATTTCCCCTTAGTTTTTAAGAGGAAAAAAGTGCATCTTATGGAGTGAAAAATACGGTAATGTTGTTGCCACTTTTATTTATATATTTATTGTTGAATGCTAAGACAGGCTTCTAAGCAGTGGCCAGGAGTCCTCTAGCCAGCCACATCAGTTGCACAATGGGGCTCAGCTCCCTTTCCTCCCACTCCTTGTGCCCCCATGCACCCCTTGCAGTTGGCTTTAGGGCATTGGGAGCCCCCCCCCCCCGCCGCCAAGAACAGCGCATTGGGGAGTGGAGTGGGGATCTTTCCATCTGGCAAGCTGGAATGCTTGCACAGAGAGAAGGATTTGAAGTTCCACCCTATTACACAAAATTAATACCCATCATTAAAATAGACAACAAAAAATCCATTAAAATGTTAAAACAAGCTCACATAATTGAAATGTGCAGCAAACCCATCCAATTAAAACAACACAGCAATTCACAGGCAGAAAATAGCAGAGCAGTGTACAGTTTATATTCTTCATGCTGTCTAAAGAGGACAACCTTTTTCTTTTAGGGTCCAGTGTGCTTTGAAGATGTTGCTGTCATTTCACAGATGAGGAATGGGTGTTGCTGGATCCTGACCAGAGAGCTCTGCATAAGGAAGTCATGGAGGAGAATCGTGAGGTCATGGACTCTCTCAGTAAGACTCCCTCTTGCTTCATAATTTCTGTTTTGATATTGAGTATTGTGACAAACCTCCAGTAATGTGGATGAGCTCAACAGCACCATCTACAGCATCAAGGATTCTAACTCCCCAATGGAGGACTATCAACTGTTTTGTCTGTGCATATTCTCCCTCCAGTTAGGCTTCAGAGCTGTTAGGAAAGTTGAACAGCTCTGTCAGGGTTTTTGGTTGACTCAAGAGAAAACTAACATTGGAGATGGAGAAGAATCCATGATTGGGCAAAGCAAAATCCATCCCAGAAAAAGAGTCAGGCTTTATTGACCTCAGGTTCCTATTAATAAATATGTCAGTTAAATTACAAAAGACACTGAACCTTGTAGTAAAGACCTGGGTGTTCATCAAGTATGCATATAATATCACAGCATTCTACTCTCTTTCAAATCAGAACCTCGGTCCAGTATACCTGAAGGAGTGTTTCCACCCCCATCGTTCTGCCTGGACACTGAGGTCCAGTGCAGAGGGCCTTCTGGCGGTTCCTTCACTGCGAGAAGCCAAGTTACAGAGAATCAGGCAGAGGGCCTTCTCGGTAGTGGCACCTGCCCTGTGGAACGCCCTCCCACCAGTTGTCAAAGAGAAAAACAAGTACCAGACTTTTAGAAGACATCTGAAGGCACCCCTGTTTAGGAAAGCTTTTAATGTTAGACAGATTATTGTATTTTAATATTTTGTTGGAAGCTGTCCAGGGTGGCTGGTGAAACCCAACTAGATGGGCAGGGTATTATTATTATTAATAATACTAATTATTATCAATAAATGAATGAATAAATAAATAAATAATTGTCTAACTCCCTTCTCTTTTCTCTCTCTCACAAGCATTGATTATCATTGTTCAATAATCTGGGGCTCAGTTTCTTCCTAAGGCTCTAATCCATTTCTCTTATTGTCACAGGTGCTGATGAATTGGAAATTAAGAACAAGAGAGACCACTGCAAAATCCACACAGTGGAGAAGCCATATAACTACATGGTGTGTGGAGAAAGCTTCAGTCAGAGCTTCTATTCCTCTTCCCATCAAAAAAATCCCATTGAGAAGAAACTCTGTCAGTGCTTGAAATGTGGAAACAGCTTCAATTCCAAGAGGAGTCTCACTTCCCATCAAAAAACTCATAGCAGGAAAAAATCATATCAGTGCTTGGAATGTGGAAAAAGCTTCAGTCAAAGCTCCTATCTCATTTCCCATCAAAGAACTCACAGCGGGAGAACCATATCATTGCTTGGAATGTGGAAAGAGCTTCATGGAAGGCAAGTCTCACTTCCCATCAAATAATTCATACAGGGGAGAAACCATATCAGTGCTTGGAATGTGGAAAGCTTTAGTCGGAACTCACTTCCCATCAAAGAATTCACAGGGAGAAACCATATCAGTGCTTGAATGTGGAAAGAGCTTCAGAAGGACTCTTCCCATCAAAGAATCACAGGGGAGAAACCCTATCAGTGCTTTGGAATGTGGAAAGAGTTCACAAAGGAAAGTCTCACTTCCCATCAAAGAATTCATACAGGGAGAAACCATATCAGTGCTTAGAATGTGGGAGCTTCGGAAAGGTAAATCTCACTTCCCATCAAAGAATTCATACAGGGGAGAAACCATATCAGTGTTTGGAATGTGGAAAGAGCTTCAGTCGGAACTCATCTCACATCACATAAGAATTCACAGGGGAAGAAACCATATCAGTGCTTGAATGTGGAAAGAGCTTCATAAGGATAATCTCACTTCCCATCAAAGAATTCACAGGGAGAAACCATATCAGTGTTGGAATGTGG